TGTGAGAGATGGAGAAAGAGAGACAGTGAACTCTTCTATTCACTGGTTCACTCTGTGAATGGCAATAACATGCATGGCTGGAACACGCTTCAGGAGCCAGAAATCTCATCTGGTTCCTGAAGGAGCTGAGTGCATCAGACCACAAGGGAGCTATTCACAAGCCAGGAACACCTGGGCTTGTGTCTAACCTTGGAACACCAAGTGGCAGACTGAAATCCACAGTATTATCTCACCTTTGTGCCCCCCTCCAGTTAAAAATAACAGAAGACAGTGTCCCTGACCTCAATACTATCTCTTCTTATGTTTTCTTTCATTTGTAAATAACAGACCAAAGCATAACAAGATGCTCGTTAATGTCTTATTATTATTATTAATATTATTATTATTATCTTTATTTAGTTTTACTAACATAAGAACAATTATTTTAAGAATTGCTAGCTTCACATAAGGTAAGAATTAATGAAAGCCTTTGTGTTCTTTTGGGGTACAAAAGTCTCTGTATTCTCACATAAAGTGCATTGTCCTGAAAGTGTGGATGATGGCCACAATGCAGAATAATAAAATCATTTTTACGTTAAGCTTCTTTTTCTTGTTTGTTTGATTAATCCTGACAGGTTCTCCCACATGGGTGGTGGGGCCTACATATTCAGGCCATATTTAATCATTTTCCCAGGCACGTTGTCTGGGAGCTGGATCAGCAGCAGAGCAGCCAGTAATTGAGCTAGCATGCTGAATTGAGGTGTTGGTGTCACAAGCCCTGTATTCTAGGATTTCAATTTATATCTTTGTGACAAAGTAGTTTTTTAAAAGAGACCCTTATTTTTACTCAATATTATCTGGTAATATACATTCATGACAGTAAAAGACAAATTAGCATGTATTTATGGAATTATTTCTACTTTTGGAAATGTTTTCAGTTTTACTTTCTCTCGCACTCTTAAAATTCTCTCAGAAATGCAGTGAATACCCACTTTAAGGGGAACAATATGTTTCCAACGAGTTCTCATAGTATCATAAGTTTTATTAATCACCGACAACTTTCCTAGCATGTTATTTGTTCTAATTTATGTATAAATCAAGAGTGCATATATTTCCATTTCTCCAAATAATCATTAAAAACTTAGTGTTTTGAAATTTGCTACTCTGATAGAAACGGGATGAAACCTTTTTGTTTCAGATCACATTTAACCTGAATAGTAATTGCTAACCTTAGTTTAATATTTTTAAGCTATTTTTAATTTTTATTTTTTTGGAGGGTATGGGATGTATCTTTCTTGTAGTTAACCTCATGTGTGCACAGTGTAGGTCTCTACCTTCTTTCCAGGAGCTCTCTCACTTTTGTGGACTGCTGAGATTGTGTGATTTTGCCTGCTCTGATGTTTCCTGCAATGTGAATCAAATTCTAGACTAGCTCCAAAATGTATTCACTTTATTTGCACCAGTGAATCTCTCTCTTAAATAAGACATCTCATTCAGTAGATTCACTCTGTAAATACCTGCAAAGCTAGAGTGGGGCAAAGGTGAAGCCTTTGTGTGATGAATTCTTTTAAGATTTATTTTATTTTATTGGAAAGGCAGATGTACAGAGAGGAGGAGAGACAGAGAGGAAGATCTTCCATCCGATGATTCACTCCCCAAGTGGCCGCAACTGCCAGTGCTACGCTGATCTGCTGATTTGAAGCCCCACATGGGTGATGGGAATCCAAGTACTTGGCCCATCAACTACTGCCCTGCAGGGCACACATTAGCAGGATATTGATATTGGCTAGTGAGTTAATCCACTAGTGAATGAATTGAAGCAGACACCCTGTCTTAGAGCATTTGAGTCTTGCTTAGATTTTTTTTCTTGGAACTCGTTTCCCAGCTGATCACAGGAGGTCATTCACCAAAGTCAGTGAATCTGAAATGTCCTCTGTCTGCAGGAGGATGTGAACAGATTTGTTCTCATTGTATGCATACAAGCATTTTTCCTGAACCTCAAAATACCTGATTGCACTACAGATGACACTGAGATAAGTCTTTAGTCACAGAACTGTAGTAGGAGAGAAAAATGGTTTTGATAATTTTTTTATTGTTTCCATTAATTTCTGTTATACAGTTTGGTAGGTTTAGCGATTCTTTCCCACTCCCATCCTCCCCTCCTGCCATTTTCCCACAAAATATTACCGCAGTATGCTAAACTCCATTGTACAATTCAGCTATGAAAACACATGCATATATTAATTTACCTACATATTTATCTGTTTTATATTCTGTATGAAGGTTATTTTATATCAGAGAGAAAATGTGATATTTGTCCTTTTGGGATTGGCTTATTTCACTGAGCATAATGGTCTCCAGTTGGGACCATTTTGTTGCAAAAGGTAGCGTTTCATTGCTAATGGTTGTGTAGTATTCCATGGCGTAGGTGTATCACAATTTCTTTATCCATCCCTCTTGAAATGGGCATCTGAGCCGTTTCCGTTTCTTTACTATTGTGAATTGTGCTGCAAACTCTACATTGAGAAAGTGACCTGTGACTCTATGTTTTGTTTTTAAAGTAAAACTGCTTTGGTTTCACTACTTGTGATAAATGATACAAAATGTAAAATAAAGTAATCAGCAGGAAGAATTTATACAGTTAAAAGTTATTATTTGATTTGCTAGTATCTAGAAGATCATTGTTAAAATTGCGACAGAGATAGGCTGATTCCCACCTGCAGTACTGGAACCTCATTTCGTCATTTCCTGACTACTCCACTTCCAATCCAGCTCCTGCTGATGGTGGGAGAGCAGTGGGCCTTCGACAATCATGCGCCCTGGTGGGAAACCTGGAAGAAGCTCCCCTCTCCCATTTTTGGTCTGCCCAATTCTGGCTGTTGCAGGCAGTGAGTGAATTTGCCTCTCTGTTTCTCCCTCACTCCCTCTGGAACTTTCAAGCAAACTAAATAATTCTATAAAAGAAATAAAAATATCAACATTTTTGGAAGAATTCAAAAAATGTTTTAATGTGTGTAAAATTATATATTTCATTTTAACTTCTTTAAATATTTTCTTTGTAAATATCAGAATAATTTATTAGTGTATATTTACTGTGTAATAATTTCAAACAAATTGGATGCATGACTGTTTTTGTATTTATTTTCTCTTCTTAGCATAAGAATTTCCTTTTAGTTATCTTTTAGCATAAGCTTAAATATGTTTTACACACATATTTAATAGAATTTCATAGTTTGGGCTTTATATTTGTATATTTTCAATACTCAATATTTTGGTTAAGCCTTTAAAATATCATGAATTTGAGAGTAGTTTTTTTCTAATTTTTAAAAAATAAGTTGTAAATATAAGATACAATTACTGATATAGATTTATTTCTTCAACCCAAGACATTCTCCACTTTACCACTTAGACTATTGGTTTTCTTCCTAACTTATCTTCTGATTGTATCTTCACTTTTTTTTAGTAACTATAGTTTATACAGGAGCTACAAATTATACTCAAGTTTGAATATCAAATTATATTTTTCCTCTCCATGTGGTGTAATGGTCCTTCTCTGCAGGGCATAAGATGAGAAGCTTTAAGTTTGAAGGATACCTGTTTAGGAAACAAAAGTTATGCAAGGTTTGAAAATTCATACCCTACTAAGACAGGTAGTTGAAATGGAAACCTACTGGAGAATATAACGAAATCCGCTGTGATGCCAGATCTATTTTTAACAAAATGAAATGCACCTTTTATTTATAAATAAATTGACTTAACGTCTGTCTATCAAATCAATGAGTGAAAAAATGCTAGGAGGAAATCTACAAGAAAAAGGGCATTCTGGAAAAGAGTTTGATTCAATTTACATACTATTTCCTAATTACTTAAGAAAGTGCATGTGCACTGGTGAAATTTTGATGAGAGAATTCGTTTTTTCTTTCTAGCTCTCTGACTCCTTTTTGAACAGTAATTTACTGTATGTTATGCTTGCTGAATGAATACATATGTATATGTATGTATATTATATATTATCTACATATATATTATATATAGCATATATTATATACATACATATACATATAGATGCATGTTAAGAGTTTTATATTCTTTTCCATTTAGAAAAGAATTACATTTGGAAAACCAAGTCAGGGCCTGCAGGACATTCAGAATCTGCTATTGAGGGAGACAGAGCCAGTTGAATCTCCTCTGAAAGACCTGAGAAGGAGATGAATACAAGAAACCTCCAGGTTCATGGGTTTAGATAGAGGACCTGCCAGAGGAACAAGCTGTGTATTGGGAGACTGTCCCTTGCTGTTGAGATGCAAGGGATCAAGCCCCGTCCTTGGATGCCTACATGACAACCTTTTTAAAAAAGTCTGATGCTGTTAATAAACTTTGACTATTGACCATCAGTCAGTAGTCCATGTGTGATATTACTGGCTCCTGCAGTGATGGATTTGGTGCACAGACAGTGAACAAGGGCCCTTACTATTTAGGAAAGAGTTATAGATGTTTCAAATATCCATGCTATACTGTGAAACAGGTTCAGAAATATTCCTTCCCCGGCCCTGTGGACATCTTATTTCTGATAGAGACAACTACAATGTGAAATGTTCAGTTCTGCCTCTGGTATCAGAAAACAACTTTTCAAAGAGCTCATTATATAAGTGTACTTCAACTGAAAGATCAGTGAAATTGTGTGCAAAAGTTGTTGAAACCCATGCATAGTTTTGTTATGTTCATTTTTCATGAACTTTTCGAAGACCTGTCATACAAAAATATTTAGGAAATCTCTGGGCCTCCCACATTCATCTCAGAGAATGGTTGCAAATATGCAATCAGAGCCAAGTATGTTACTGGCATTCAAAAGACTAACATTGGTCAATGTTTGAACCCCTAGGAGCCTCAAGAAGGATGCATGGCCATCTGTTTCTTTTCCCGGTGAAGACAGAAGGAGGAGAAAATCATGGCTCAGGACATCTTAGAGGGGAGTCAGAGAAAGGTGCCTTGTGAGGTGTCACCATTCCCACAACACATACCTCTCAATCTGAAGTAAATAAAGGAAATCTGCATGACAATGAAGGTCATTAGCACACACAGGATCACACTTATATCTTCCAACCACATGGTATCCAACTGGAACTGTGGGTCTGAAACAGGGACTGGGGAGAGAAACAAAAATTAGAATGCATGCAGCAAAGAAAAGAGGGTTGGATTTCAGCTTTATGATAGGCTTAATTTCCACGTATTCATTCTTCCATATTTCTAGACTTAAATGGTGAGGAGGAAAAAAGTAGGTTGATCTATGTAGGTGAGTCTGAGAGAGAGTAGAAACGATACTCTTTCTGACCTGAAAGCATTCTGAACATGCCAGAGATGTCTAAAATAATATTAATAACAATAATATTAGAAATGAATATTATAAACTTGGGATAGGCAAGTGGTATCAGGGAATTCAGGAAAATACTGGTTTTCTGAGAAAGGAGACAACTTTGTTCTTATATGTTGTGGAAAGTTTTATAAGAGGAGTGGGAATTTTAGTTGTGAAGGTAATATCAAAGTGAAAGAATCTACATGTACCCATAGTTATGTGTATGTAAAAAAAATATGTGTGTGTGAGTCAGCACATATGTGAGCAAGGTCTAGAAGATTAGGATGATTAGAAATGAAAAGGAAGAGTAGGTGTCGCCTTGCCTATACAGCAAAAATGCATAAGGAAAGCAGGCTGCAGATGGATCAAAATGTGGCTAATATCATGGTACAGTAGGTTAAGCACTGCCTGTAGTGTTGATATTCTACTTCGGGGTCAGTTTGAGATCCTGCTGCTCCACTTTCAATCTGTCTCACTATTAATGACCTTGGAGAACAGTGAAAGACTGTGGGCCCTTGCACTCATGTGGGGCACCAGAAGAGGTTCCAGGGTCCTGGTTTTGGACTGGCTCACCGACACCTCAGTCACTTGTGGGATTGTACCAGCAGATGGAAAATCTCTCTTCTTCTTCTCTCCCTATAAATCTGTATTTAGATAATAAAAAAAAAATTAAAAAATAATCTACCATATGATTCAACAACTCCACTCCCAGGAATATATACAAAGGACGCAAAATCTGCATTTTAGAAAGTGACTCAGGTCCAGCGCAGTGGCCTAATGGCTAAAGTCCTCACTTTGCAAGTGATGTGATCCTATATGGATGCCGGTTCTAATCCCAGCTGCTTCATTTCCCATCCAACTCCCAGCTTATGGCCTGGGAAAGCAGTCAATGATGGCCCAAAGACTTAGGACCCTGCCCCCATGCGGGAGACCCAGAGGAGGTGCCTGGCTTCTAGCTTCAAATCATCTCAGCTCTGGCTGTTGTGGCTACATAAGGACTGAATCAGTAGACAGAAGATCTTCCTCTCTGTCTCTCCTCCTCTCTGTATATCTGTCTTTCCAATAAAAATAAATAATTTTTTAAGCTAAAAAAGTAAATAAATCAAGAGAATAATTCACTAATCAGAGTTGCAATGACCAAGGGCAAAAGAAGAGACATAGGCACAATTAATATGGTTACTGACATCTCCCCTGCAATTGAGCAAAATCCTCTGTCAACCTTAGAGTTAACTGAGGAAGACACTGAGGAACTGCCAAATAAAGTTTTTTTTTTTAAATGTAATAAAGCTTCTTAAGAACAATGAGAAATACATACACAAGTTCAAGACATTTAAGGAATATGTTACACAAGAAATAGCATTACTGAAACAAAATTGAGTTATTAGAAATGAAGCACACAATACAGCAAGTTAAAAATGTAGTGGAAAGTCTCAATAAACGTTATAAATAATAATATAAATATTATAAATAATATCATTACCTTTTATTATAATTGATATAATATATTAGAATATCAGAATGTATATCAGAATATGGTATATATTGTATTATTACATATGTATAATATATGATATATTCTGACATAATAATAATTATTATATATCACACATAATACATATTATATATTGGAATATCATATATAATGGAAATTATATAGAAAATATAATATATGATATTTTATAATTATATATAAAATATAAATGTATTTACATATTAATTATAAATTTTATATAACATAAATTATATATTATACTTAATACTTTATATTATGTATAAAATAATTACATAAAATATAATAGTTGATATTTTAATAAAATAAATGCAATATATTTCATATTATATATATTGAAAATCGACATAATTGAATTATTTTTAATGTACACACCCTGGAATGTTACTCAGCCATAAAAAATGAAATCCTACTTTCCACAACAAAATGGATGCAATCAGAAACCTTTTGCTTATTAAAATAAGTCAGTACCAAAAATACAAATATCATGTTTTCTCTGATTTGTTTGAACTAATATATATGGGATAAAAGTTATAGATATATACATATATACATATAGTTACATACATGTGATTACATATTTTATGTGTATATATGTACATATAGATATAAACAAAACTGCCAGCTTGATATTTGGTTACCGTTTATAGCCACTATATATTCCTGAGGAACAGTAGTGTTTGTATTTAAATTCCTATGACAACATGGGACACATAATAAACATTGAAGATACATTAGCCATCGTTGTGTCCCTTTCTTCCAGTACCGATGGGTGATATCTGCTTTGAGTACTGCCACAGTTAATGTGCAAGACTCCTGTACAGATTTTCTTGGAAAAAGATTTAAAAAGGCACTTTCAACCTGGATTGATTTCAAGACATCAGCGCCTTCACTTCACAGGAGAAAATTAACAACAATATTCCCCCCAAAGAATCCAGCTCTACTTGTGACACCTGCATTTGTCATTTGATTATAGCTCCAACTTACATGCATAAAGAATTATTATATTTTTTCTGATCACTGCCTTATATGTAAAACATTTATGGGGAACTCACACATGGGGCACATTTCAAACACGTTTGTTCAGGTATCCCAAAACTTTGACTGTTACCAATTCAATCTCAAAGACCCCCAAAATGATAGTGAATAGATTCAGGTATGCATAAACATGACAAAATTGAGTGAAACTTACATAGACATATGAGTCATTCTGAGAACATCTGCCTTGCATCAATCTTTGAACAAAACATATTATGCCTAAATTGCACATATCCTAAATTATGATTTTCTATAAGCTTAAAGTACAGAAAGATCAATATAATGTGGTATAATGTGTTAGGTGATGTAGTGCCTGGACTTGGGGAAGGGGGATAAAGTTTTATGAAATACTTTTTTCATACATGTAGATGCATCAACCTTTTATGGTTAAGCCCATATAATTCAAGAGGTTGTAATCTGAATCCTATAACATACAGTCCCAAGTGTTAGTTGTTTTTGTATTTCAAGTAAGATTACTCCTCTTTAGCTAAATGTCTTGCTGCAGATTGGACGCTGAGGAAAGGAAATATTTTCAGAAGGTTTCCATCCTTTTCATCCCACTTACCTCTTTCTTTCCAATTCAACCATACAAGAACTGGGACCGTTGCTGACACTGATAACACGACTATAATTATGCTCACCGCAAGGGGAGATGACAATCTGCGCCATCTACCTGAGGAAAAAGAGATAACACAATCATCAACTGTTGCTTTGGAGACACTTCAGGTTCTGGAAAAGTGTGTCAAGAAAGCAATGCCAGCTGGTCACTAATTCAGATGTAGATCTAAAGGATCAGAGCAGTGTGAGCAGGGACACAAAGCAGAGGTATTTATTGGACGTGAGAAGCTTGAGGTTTGCAGGAAATCTGCCACCAATCAAAGGGCCTCATTAGAGAGGACAAGGAAAAGTTGTGGCTTGTCACCATCCTTCTACTTGCATTTGAAAAGGGCTTGGAGAAGGACAGTTCTAGAGAACTGAACGAAGAGATCCTTAGAGCATTAGATACAAGAATCTTGTGAATGAAAGACAACATGCTTTTAAAATTTTATCTAGGAGATGTCATGGTAGCATGAAAATATTTTGTGATAAGGAATCTATTTCCAGACATGGCTCCACTCCTCTGTAGATTATGGGCACAGTTTAATGTGGTGTTTAAATTATGGGATGTTGGGGTTCACGTGCCTTAAGTTCACTCTTGAAGCCTTTACTTGCTAGTCCTTTAAGGTACACCACTTACCTTCAATTGTCTATGTTTCATCATATGCTAGTGATAATAAGGTATTTTAGGGAGCATACATGCATTAGTAACTGTAAAGACTTTAATATAGGGTTTGTTAATATTAAAACTTAATAAATTTTAGTCCTGAATGATTATGTGATGATTCCTGTTAAAAAATTAACCTTGCATCAATTCTAAATAGGCTCATATTATGTTGGCGAGGAACAGCTAAATAACTGAGGACAATCTCTTGTCAAAGGTCAATTTAAAAGTTTCTAATTACAAATCCCCAAGCAGCTATTTGAGAAATGATAACAGGTGCTACATATGCTGACTTGGTAGGTTCAGTAAAATATGATCCATGGAAGTGCATATGCAAAAAAGGAAATGCATTAAAGATGTAATTAAGCAGAGACATTATGAAAAACAAATCTTAACTTGGACAGTGTCAATAAGCAAACAGAAACTGAGTTTATTTTGCAAAACAGAAGTTAATAGAGGTGAAAATTGTGAATTTGTGTGTTTGTTCAAGGTCTGGCTTGAACCTAGTATGACTGTATTCTTTTTGCCTGATGCTGCAATGAGGAGCTTCTTCTCAGCTATTTCTGCCATAAACAAGACAGGATTCTATTTCCTGTTCCTGATAGGATTGTCAGACAATTGCAGAAGTCAAATGAGAAATGTGTTATTTGTTGAGTGTTAAGAAAGCCTTTCCAGCTTAATTATAAATTATAGACATGGAGGATCTAAATTTGATTGAGGTACAGAAGCTCTGGCTTTCAGCTAATCAGTCTTATCAGCAGATCCAGCAGTAAAAGAACATGTAGGAACACAGGATGGGTGGGGAGCGTGTGTTTAACATACGCCCCAGGTCCAGACATGCTTGAGAGGCAAGGAACATACAGTCTCAGTTCAGCCCCCCACTTTGTGTCTCCCACCCTTCAAACTTTCTGACCTCTGAGTCTCATTTGCAGTTCAATACCAGGCAGCATTACAAATACCAGCAGCACAACAAAAATGGCAATCAGACTCAATGTCCAAATACGTCTCCATGGGGATAGCTCCGCTGAAATAGAGAATCACAAATTACACCACTCAGAATGAGAATGCATCCAAAGCATATTGACATTCAAGACTGCATCAATCTGAAACTCGCACTTGGGTCAGTGTGGGGAGGCTGATGTAATTGGGTGGGTGAGAGTAGAGTAGTGTCTAGTGTGGGATAGGTGTGGTTTGTTTGAGGCTGGCACAGAGCAGAGCCTCTGTTCCTTCCCATTAATTCTGTCTCATTTTCCTTGGCAGAAAGGTGAGCAGGGGAGCAAAGCCTCAGAACAGGTTTCCAGGGAAACTGTAACAAAGTCAGCTCCAAGGTAAGCTTTTGGCTTTTTCTCTAAATTTTCTGTACTGCTGAAATCCTTAATTCTTCAATATCTTCATTGTGTTTGGTATTAAACTCCCTGAATACATTTGGAGAAATATAAGTTTAAATGACCTTTCCTCCTTTTAATATGAACAAGTATCTTCCTTGGCATGTTGCTCTGTGTATATTGAGAATGAATGCCTGTCATTTCATCTGGGAAGCTTAATTCTTACTTCCTAAAGAAAAAAAGTCTAATCCTACCAGGAATATTCCTCTTTGTCCCATATTACTGAACAAGAAGATGAATCTAAGAAGCCACTATAGAAACAATCAAGAGTTTTGTTGTCTCATTGTAAAGATGTTTGTCATGGCCTAAACTTGGAATGAGTGGATGCACATAATTAATAGTTTGTGGCTTTAGAACCAATCCTATACCCATGCAAGCTTCTCCGGACTGCAGCTGAAAACAACTCAAAAAGACCTTTGCCAACTCATTAATCCAGCAAGGACAATATCCCAAGTGAGTTTAAATTTGATGATTGTGCTTTATAATGAGTATTTGTTCCTACTTGTGTTTTCTGCCCTCCAGTGAATGGAACACAAGAGCTGTCTGAGATGCTGCTACTTCCCAGAATTGTAATTCACTACCCAAAATTCAATTTTTTAAAAAAACACATATTTTATTAAAAATGAATGCTTGCATTAATTTTATGGACAAAAGCACTGATACATGTATATTTTCTTCAACGTCTACCAGACTTTTTTATTTAATTATAATCATTTAAGAAAGCAATTGCTTATTATTTACCCACTATGTGAAGCAGCTGTGATATATCAGAATATAAAACCAACAAAGATTCTATCCTCATCTTTTGGAGATAGTGGCGTAAGAGACAATAAACACCACAAACAAGTTATGCAGGATGCTCAAAATTAATTATACTATGTTAAAAGAAAAGCCAAAGGGATTGAGGAGGTAGGGGATAGGTTGAGCATGAACAGAAAGAGAAAGGGGAAGTTCATAGACTTTATAGCATTCCAGGAAGAAAAGCCAACTGGAATAAAGATCTTCAAGCTGAGTCTGACTGACATGATTAAGGAACAGCGAGGAAATCTATGAAATAGGGAAAAGGATATTTGGGGAAATTTTCCTCTGCAAATGAGAAAAACTATAGAATCTTGAATAGAAGGTGATGCTTTATGCCTTGCATTTAAAATGAGTCTTTCATCCTATACTTTGAGAATATACCGTGATGGACAAAACTAAAAAAAGAAGCAGAACTTCCAGGACGGTATTGGCAAAATTCAGACCATGGATGACGAGGTCTCGGAGTGGGATGGCAGTAGCCAGGTGGTAGGAAGTTGGTGAGACTCTGGGTATGTCTTCAAGGTAGAGCTAGAATTGTGGCTTTATAGAAAGAGGATTAAAAATGGTAAAAAATGATTATAATGATTTTGTTCTGATAAACTTAAAAATATGAAGCATGATTGGCAAGGCAGAATTGGGAGATTTGTTTGTTTGTGATGTATTGACTTGAGCTATTAACTAGATTTGCATGTTAAGATGTTGGGTTTCCAGGTAACTTCTGAGGAGAGAGTTCTGGGCAGGAGATATAATTTGAGAAGGCATCACCATAGGGATGGTACGAAAGCCATGAAACAGAATAAAGTCACAAAACAGAAATGATTCAAGAACTTTGCACTTGACTCCAATATAAAGGAGGAAGAATGAAAAAATGAAATGTGGGGAAGGGAACAAGAAGAAAAGCAAACAAGAAATGAAAGGTTAAGAAAGTGTTGTCTTAGAACAGAAGTGAAGAAAGTACTTTTTCTGTTAGTTTGTAAATTATATGACAATGGCTAGCATGTGAAGTACAAATCTCACCTGATAAAACGAGGCTTGTCCTTTCCTCCTGACCAGTCACAGGATTTCTAAGGCAGCAAGTGATGTTCTCAGAGGAGCTGCTATTAAGGAGAAGGGTCATGTGCATGTTGAACAATTTGTCTCCGTCCTGTGAGACGGTTTTGGAAGCAGATGCAATGACCTCTTCTCTGCTGTCTCTCCATTCCATCTGAGGCTCGGGGAACCATCCCCTGGAATTACACTCTACCACAATGCCTTTGATATTGGGTGGATACAGGAGAAGCTGTATTTCTAAGCTTGTAGCTGGTTGAAAAGAAAAACAGCAGGATTTTCAGGTGAAAGCAGGTAAGCTGAACAAAGAAATCAAAACTTTCCTTTAGCATTTCAATTGCAATTATCTGCATGGATTGATAGCCAAGTTCTGTGGGGGCACTATGACCATTACTAGCTAGCAAAAGAAAAACAACCAAGACATCAGTCCTTGTGGAATTTATAATTTCATCTCTTCTATCGCCATTGTTCTTCACTTTTGAACAACCATGAAAGACTTATAAATGCAAGGTTACAACTTTATTTGAAATTTAATTTGTATGATTTTTGCATACATCATTTTTTATTTTGTGTCATTTATACAAAATAATAATTTTGTCACCATGTTCAAAATAGAGTGTATGTAACTTTAGAGAAAAATAAGTTTCAGGATATTTTTCAAACTTGATGCTTATCTAATGTGTGAATCAAACAAAAATTAAAAGAGATTTAAGACTAACCCTAAAACAGATTTTTCCAATAAAATTTCCTGTAATGATGCAAGTTTTCTATAATTTTACTACCTAATACAGTAACTACTTGCCACTGTGAACTACTTCACATGTGACTTAAAAACTGTTTAATTTTGTTTAACTTCAATTAATTTAAGTACGTACAATCTAGATAACCAAATGTGGCTAGCAAATATCATGCTGTATACTTCAGCTCTAGATTATAGAGTTGCATATCATAAAATATTCAAAAAAGATATTAACTGTTATTGGGCCTGGAACTCTACACTTTGTTTTTGTAATTGAGAAGTATATTAGTCTGCATTAAGTACACTGTCTTCCATGTCTTTGTTTTTTTAAATATTTGACAGAAGATGTGATTTCCTTAAATGCATGTGAATGTTATGGAGTGCAGCCAGTGATTGCTCCTTCATCTCTCCTTGTTTACTCTTCCCCCCATGTCTGAATTTGGCCAGTATGTTGGATGCAGATGAGTGCAGCTAGTCTCTTTAGCTGCAAGTCCAGTTTCTGTTCCTGCCCATCCCAATGAGCACGAATTAACTCCTTAACTCACAGCATTCAGGTATTCACTCCTGCCCACCTGTGACACCTATCAACTGAGAGGAGATGGTATTGCACTGTTGTGTAACCACACCCCTCACAAGCCCCTTTAAAAGGCCCGTGAAGTGGGGGCTCACTATCTCTTTCTGGTCAGGTGTTTCTGTTACTCTGGCACCGCAACTCTTGGCTAATCCAGGACAGGTAATCCCCTGAGCATGGTCCCTGTATACCGCTTTGATTGGACTTGTGATCTGTTATTTTAGTATGTTCTGCTATCACCAAGCTTGGTTAATAAAGACTCTTTAATAAAACCTTAGACATGTCTGGTGTGATCTCACTCATACCCCATAATAGTGCACACACACACACACACACACACACACACACATCAAATCTGGACATTTGGACTCTCATTATTATAGATGAAAGCTTTTTGAAAAAAAGACTTGAGAAAATTAATCTAGAATGTGTAGCCAATGCATTGAGTCATAGCAAAATGAGAGCAAGAATTATCATTAATTAATGAGACTTTTGTAAAAATTCAGCTAAGTTTCAAGCCAAATTTTGCTACAATGCTGACAGAAATAGTTGAAAGGATAATAACAAATTCTTGAAATATTCTGATCCTATAGAAATTTAACAACACATGTAGACATATGAAACAGTCTATTGGAGTGGTGCTATGGTGTAGCAGGCTAAATCGCTTCTTGAGATACCCAGATCCTGTATCCCAATGATGGTTTAAATCCTGGCTGCTTAGCTTGTGATTCACCTGACTCTGATGTACCTGGAAAATCAGCTGAAGATGGCCCCAGAACTCAGGTTCCTCCCACCAAGGTGGGAGGTTGGGATGGAGTTCCTGACTTTGGCCTGGCCCCGAACTGGTTGTTGCAGCTATTTGGGGCATTAACCAGTGAGGTCTCTTTCTTTCTCAATCTCTTTCCTTTCCTCCCTCCATGTTCTGTCTTTTAAACAAAACAAATCCATCTTTTAAGAAAAACAGTCTATAAATAAAGTTGACGTTTGCACACATATAATTTTCATCCTTGGTACTCTACTAAAAGTTCAAAACACCAGATTGATTCATTTGAACTTGCTGATTAAGCTATGGAATCAGAGTAGGGAGAAACATGGGAATTTTCCTGACACCATCCTCGGATAGATTAGAAAAGTGCAGACCTCAGAGGCTCCATCCTTACCTATGACATTTACTTGTATTATGGCTTCTTCATAGAAATCACCATCTTTGAAGAAGCAGTGGTATTTGCCGTCGTCATCAGCACTGACATTAAAGATTCTGAGGGTGACTTTACCTTCTCCAATGGCGTCTTTCACAAGCTCTGTTCTCTCCACATACCTGGAGACAGTTTCTGCATGTAGGTCTCTACCATTGTTATATAGGTACACAGGTTGGTTGTAGCGGTTCCGGAACCAGCGGATCTCCATGTGTTGCGCATTCTGTGGTGGGGACAACTGACAACTGAGCTCAACTTCTGCACCCAACTGAACCAAGACTGGCTTCTCCAAGCCATTTACTGTGAACTCTTCTGTAGAGGGAGATTGTAATTAAAAGATAGGAATACAACTCAGGGCACATCTTTGATTTCATCCATTACACCACACACACACACACACACACATAGCTTATTGAAGGTAACGTTTGAGTCTTCATTAGAGATATGTTAACTTTGCCTTTGGCTTGAATGGTAATTCATCAAATTGTTTCCCTTAAGAAACTAAAAATACATTTCTTTTACCACTAAATAATTTGTTTCTCTTAAGAGAACTACCAGATTGCTAGTTGTTTCTTGTTTTATTCTGTTAATTCATGCATAAGCAGTTTTACTCAGACTGTCTTTTTGCTTTTTCTAAGTTTATTATTTTGTGGTTATGAGTTGCTTTTATTTTAACTTATTGAACTTATGTAAATTGAGTAATGTCATATAGTTCACAGTTCAGATTTATGTGCACACACTCCCCATCTTACTCCTCCTGTCCATATCCCACACCTACTCTCATCCTTCTTTATTTCTTTTTAAAATTTTTACAATTCCATAATTCCAGTTTAATTTTTAAGCTTCTAATAGATTCACTGTAATTCATAGGTATCACTCTCAGAGATTGCTTTTGAGATTTGCTGAACTTTAATGAGAGTAGGAATTTATGCGTTTTTCTGGCTGAGTCTCATAGGGTGTCTTGAATCAGGTAATTCATATATTTCTCAATTCCTAAAAATTCTCAGACATTGAGCACTTAATTTTATATATCTTATTTTATATATTTTTAACTACTGGAGTCCTGTGCTTAGCATATAGACCCTCAATTCTCTTGAGTCTTACCAAGACTTCTTCATGCATTACTATATCGTCCTTTAAATGTCTCCAGATTAGATTAAGATGTTGTATGTTTTGTTTTCCCCTTTTGGTGTAACAGATGTTCTTTCAGATCAGAGATTCAGAAACTCTCTCTGTTGGTATTTTGTCCTTGAATGGGATACAGTAAGATACTAGGTGATATTTAAGGCTTTCTCAGTTTTGTCCCTGATTCTGCTCATTGAGAAGAAGATGAAAAATTGGTTGATGCTCAAGTATTCTCTACTGACTTATGTGATGATGATCCTTATCACCCCCAACCCTTTCTGATACAGGTCACTTGGGAAAGACTACTAAATTCACATTTTCTCACACCTACAAACCAAGGAGACTTAAGTAACAAGGTGTGATTAAGCACTTTGGATTTATGCTATTAAATATTATTTTGTACATGGAAAGGAATACCACTTGGTGTATAAATTATTCCTATTTTATTGTGAATCTATATAATTAATTCCTGAAAATAATTTCATATATTTGAGAATTAATGATGCTTTCAATTTTATTGTCTTAAAATATATTGCTGCAGGTCTGGTGTGATAGTGTAGCGGTTAAGATCTTTGCCTTGAATGTGCTGGGATCCCATATGGGCGCTTGTTATAACTCCGGCAGCTCCACTTCCCATCCAGCTCCCTGCTGTGGCCTGGGAAAGCAGTCGAGGACGGCCCAAAGCCTTGGGATCCTGCACCTGCCTGGGAGACCTGGAAGAGATTCCTGGCTCCTGGCTTTGGATCAGTGCAGCACCGGTCATTGCATCCAGTTGGGGAGTGAATCATCGGACGGAAGATCTTCCTCTCTCTTTCCTCCTCTCTGTACATTTGCCTTTCTAATAAAAATAAATAAATCTTTAATATATATATGTGTGTTACTGCAATTACATAGTTGAAAACACTAATTATTTGGAGATGTTTTAAATTCTTATATAAAAGTTAAAATAATCACAAGTAAAATAACTGTAGTGTAATTATTACATTTGTCCAGCGATTATACTCCTAGGTATAATGCAAATGACTTGGAAACTACAGCTACATAAAATCTTGCCCAGAGTGTCAGCATCATGGTATAATATATTGGAATCATTGCCAGTCTCAGCTATTTCACTTCTGATCCTATTGTCACCAGGAGTTGGATGGCCTGAGGAAAGCAGCAGAAGACTGCCCAAGTAGTTGGGCCCCTGCATCCTCGTGAGAGACCTGTAAAAACTCCTTAACCTGGGCTTCAGACAGGCAAGCTCTGGCTGTTGCGGCCGTTTGGGAGTGAACCAGTAAATGGAAGAACTCTGTATCTCATTTTAATCTCCCTCTCTCTCTCTTTCAGTGCACTCTGTCTTTAAAACAAACACAAATCTTGCCCCCAAATGTTTACAATATCTTTATATTTCTCTAAGAGAAAGTCAGTGGGTAAAATTGTGGTCTCTACATATAGTGTACCATTTCATCATTAAGAAATGAGCTAGTGAAGCTATGAAAGGAAGCCTAACGCATACTACTTAGTGCTTAACATATATTATATGGAAAAACTTTGGTGCCTATTACTAAGTGAATTGAGTCAGTTTTGGAAACTGATTCCAATGATTTGACAAAAGGCAAAGGCAAGACTATACAATTACAAGAGTAGAGCTCATCTGGGATTTTACTTATTTTGTTTTAGACTTATTTACTTTTTTTTTATTGGAAAGGTGGATATACAGAGAGGAGCAGAGAGGAGAGACAGAGAGGAAGATCTTCCGTCCCATGATTCACTCCCCAAGTGCGCACTATGGCCGATGCTATGCCGATCTGAAGCCAGGAGCCTCTTCCGGGTCTCCCACACAGGTGCAGGGTCCCAAAGCTTTGGGCTGTCCTCGACTGCCCTCCCGGGCCACAGGCAGGGAGCTGGAAGGGAAGCGGGGCTGCCGGGATTAGAACCGGCGCCCATATGGGATCCCGGGCGTGCAAGGCGAGGACCTTAACCACTTGCGCCACCGCACCGAGCCCGACTTATTTACTTTTATTGAAAAGGTGGATATACAGAGGTGGATCAGAGTGGGGCAGTCAGGACACCAACTGGAGCCCACATGGAATGTTGGCACTTTCAGGTGGAGAATTAACCAGTAGCGTCATTGTGCTGGCCCTAGAGTCCATCAGGGTTTAAGTGGGAGAGAAACATGAACACGAACAGATGATACACATAGATCTTTTTAGGATGATGAAATTCTCTGTATATCACTGATACTGGATTCCTTTCATCATGGATTTCAGTGGATGATCAAGGAAAAAGAGGAGCACAAGGCGGCAGTATCATACCACACACTTCTGGTTGGACCACACTGAGGGATGCTGAGGGAGGCAGTCACCACTGCAGGAGACCTGGCAGAGATGAGCGGGGCCATCACCCAGAAGGGGAGGAGAATGGAGAAACTCCCCAGGTGGGAGAGCAGTGGAACAGGTAATTCAGGGAAGCAGTTGTGTAAGGTTTTTATCAAAAAAACAAACATCAATTTTCAGAGTCAATTTACATGATGCTTGAGTTAACTAAGCTAAATTGATGTTTCTTAGGAAGCTTGAGAAGGTGGATGATGGCTTCCGTCCAGCGAACATAGCCTGTAGCTGGAGACGAGCTCAGAGAACTCTCATCAAGCATGATGGGCTTTGTAGAGCCACACCTGGCAGATATCAGGTTCACTTTTACAGAGTTTGCAAGGCAGACAGGCATTCAATGGCTAAAACTGCCTGTTTGAGAAATGGTTACCACAATTAGAATTTAAAAATTTGAGGTTTATGTGGTGGGCTTTTGAATTAATGTGTCTCAACTTTATAACAGTATTAGGCTAACATACAAGAGGCCTTCTGTGATTCATTTATGTAACAATTTGATAAAACTTAGAGAATTGTATAGCTGAACAAATGAACCCTAGTGTAAACTTTAATTCTGCTTAATACTAATTTGTGAATCTAGGTCCATCAATTGTAATAAGTGTGACAGAATAGGAAAATGCACTAACAGAGGGAACTGCAGGTATGGGTTGCAAATTGGAAAATAAGAGTGAAGTTAAATAGGAACTCTGAAGAGTTTCTACATAATTTTTAGCAAACTTAAAACTCCTCTAGGAAATGAAGTCCATTACAATTTTGTAACTCGGGAAAAAGGAGAACAAAACAAATGGAGCTTGGGGGAAATTTTGTAATCCATTAAATATAAAGTCAAAGCTCAAAATATTCTACACATCAAATATATTATGAGCAAAATCATTGAACTATAAGCTGGTGAGAATTATGTGGAATAGGGATTAACAGTTAAGATTTTGATAACCCACATTTAAGTACCTGTGTTCCATACTTGACTTTAGATGTGACACTAACTTAACTCCAGTGTATGTGATGGAAGCAGCAGAAATGGCTTACGTGATTGAAAGGCCAGGATTGCACTCCCGGATTCTTCTCTGCCCTTCCCATGCATATGGGGAGTGAACTAGCCAATGAGAGCTCCTTTTCTCCCTTGCTTTCTTTGTGTTTCTCAAATAAATAAATATGTATATTTTAAACTATTAAAATATATTCATAAAATTGGTAAATCAAAAAGTGAATTCCTAATATTGGAGTGTATATCAAGAGTATAAAACTGAATTTAACATTATTTTTGTATAGTTATAATTGTCTTCATTGAATTATATCCTAGATATAATAAAATACCTTTTTCCCTCATTTTATGATCCTGGTCATGAATCCCATATTATGTCATACTAGTATGTCTACTTTCAAGGAAAATAATATGTATGTGTGTATATGATAATTTTACATGAAATGAACACTACAAGCTGTTAAAATACATATAAATAACTATTATAAAAAGAGTTCTTACAAAGCAGCAAAGGAAAGACTAACAATTCAAGGAATGTAAAGAGTTAGGACCTTGGTAGTTCATAGAAAACATAATTTTGAAAAGATACTCGACCTTAATCATTCATTAAAAAAGTAAAATATAATGATACAAAATTATGTTTTTCTTCTGTTATGTTTGGAAAAGAGAAAAAACTTTGAATCCTCTATAATCCAATCTACAAACTCAGATATAATGTTTGTAGAAGTGTACCTTGTTAACCAATTCAGGTAATGTTTCCAATAACATAATAAAACCTCCTACGAACAATTGCATTTACAGTGATATTCCCTACATCCATATCTACAAGTATGATTAAATCATACTTGTAGTAAATCAAAGTAATTAATCAAAGTAATATTACTTTGAATAATTGAAAATTTGATGCTATCTATATATGCTCAGCGGTAATTTCTACCATTTATGCTCAAACTTTGGAGATTTAAAAAATGTTGAGAATGTTCCATGCATCTTCAAAATATCCACTTTAAAACATTTTTTTGCATAGCTCCACTTACACATGTAAATTTTCATCAACAATCATGACTCCACCAATTTGGAAGCTGCTCCATTTTCTTAGCTTCTACAACACTGATAGCAGAACCTGGATTCCAAGATGGATTTGGTTGGTAATTCATGTCTTCTCAGATAAATAATGAGCTTTCAAGGCCAAACATTAGGTCTCCTTCATTTGTTTTTCCTCTGCTACATGTTAAAGAAAACTTGCTAATTGGAAATAGTTCTTTGTTTGAAAGTTGGACCCTATAGTACTCACCCTAATTATAGACTGTGCATCAAACCTTAAGAACAATGGTCAAAAGAGCTTGCCTTTTTTTTTGCACAGTTGTTATTGTGAAGGTTTATAAGGCTGGTGAGAGATTCATACCTGAAGTTAGTGTTACCATCTCAAGAAGGCACATCACAAACAAGTATCTGGAAAGAGATAGTCCTGTGGTTCCCATTTTACCTGTGGTAAGAAAAGGGGAAAGCTCAGAAAGAGTGGAAATTGGAGTGTGGTATTATTAGAAATAAAATATTTCCATATCTTTCTACAACAATAAATTCTCAGAGTTGTCAGAAAAAATGTAAGAATCCAAGTTAGATTTTATGTCAGATAAACAATGACTGCTACTTTATATAAGCATTTTCCCAGTAGCATGCAGCCTCCTATAAGTTTTATTTGCGGAGTCTTGACATCCTGCCTTAAGGATGTTAAATACAGCGACCAAGTCCATCCAGAGGCTGCTTTTCAGTAACAGGATTGCTTCCTGCAATGGGAGATTGCTGCTTATCTTTCAATTTTGTGAAATTCATCAGGTAACCAGCTTCTTCAGAGAAGGTGGTGGCAGGTCTAGCAAACAGGTGTTCATCTCTGAACCTTTGACCACTTAAGCAGCTGTCACATTAAGTTATATAAAAAAGTTTAAAGAGGGAGACAGCCTACTGGTAGAATGAAAGAAGTGGTTGTTTTAGAGAGAAATATGACTCAGTTTTCTATGAGAGAAGTCATATTCAGAGATAGGGATGTGGATGCACACTGCACACGAAGACAGAAGGTGAAAACAAGCTTGTCTTTATGAACTAAAATGTGGAGAGGCTTTTTGTCTGTTCTAGGATAGTTTGTTTTTTTTTCACATTTTATTATTATTGCTATCATTTTACGATACAGTTCCATATTCCCTATCCCCTCCCCAATTCCCTCCCCCCCCCCCAGTTCCTTTATATCATTACTAACATATAGCTCTTCATACTCAGTCATATGTTTATCATTGTGGGCATGGACAATGGCAGAGAGTCCAGAATCCTATTGTCAAAATATAATATAGTCCATCTTTGTCTGGAAACAGAGATGCATACCACACTGCATCGTCACATCTGGTTGTTAGTCTCCATTACATAACTACTGCACATTCCCTTAAATGAAAAGTCATGATACAAAATCAACAATAGAAAGAAAAATAGAAATTTACAATGCCATGAAGTTAAATGACATGTTACTAGATATGACAGTCTCCATTACACAACTACTATACCTTCCCTTAAATGAAGAGCCACAAAACAAAATCAACTTCCGGGAGAAAAAAGAAATTAACAACACCAAGAAGTTAAACAACATGCTATTAAATGTCCAACGTGTACCTGAAGAAGTGAAAATCAAGAGCCTTCTTGAAGAAAATGATGCCACTGTATGATCTACGAGTCGTTGAATGATTTAATCAGAAGAAAGTGTTTTGAGGAGATGAAACCAACAGAAAACAACAAAACCCATGTGATATAGTTTCTGCTGATCTTTGTTGGAGTGTGTTTCCTCCAGACAATAAATAGATGGGTTTTGTTTTTTAATCCAGCCTACTAATCTATGATGTTTGATTGAGCTTAAGCAATTTACATTTAGAATTAAATATACATAGGTGGTACTTTGGTCCTGTCATTTTAGGAATGGGTTGTTCATTGATTTAGTCTTCTGTTGTCATTTTACTGGGATGTTCTTCCCGTTCGCCTTTGGTTTTGGTAGGTGCTATTCCTCTTCTCTGTCAAGAGAACATCTTGAAGTATCATTTGTAGAGCAGGTTTGGAAGAGGCAAATTCTTTTAGCTTTTCTTTACTCTGGAAGAATTTTATTTCATTTTCCAAGATGAAAGAAAGCATTGCAGGGTATTCTTAGACTTAATAGCTGTTCTATATTAAATGCTTAGTATAGTACTACTGTAAGTACTATACTGTATGGTACTATACAATACAACTCTTCTATAGATTTTAGTAACTATATAATATTTATCTCTCATCATTTCAGTTTTGCTGAAATTTACTAGAATTTAAAAGAGATAGAAAGTAAAGGTTTTGATCACCAAATCCTCATCCTGGAACTACTGCTTAACAGTCATGTGACCCGTGGAATAGTTCTGCATCTCAGTTTAGCCTCTGCATTGTAGGTATAGGCAAAGGTGAAATTGCAGAATGTCAAATTGCAACTGTTACCAAAGGATTATACCACTGTGATAATATGGGGGGAAATGGTGGGAAGGTAGAAGGAGGAGGGAGAAAGGAGAGGGGATTGGAGGAATCCCTATGCCTACAGAACTCTCTTGGAAAATAATAATAATAAAGGAAAAATAAAAAGCAATTACAAAGTATAAAAAAGCCAAGGAAAAGCACCTGAGCTTTATATATGTCAAGCTTTGGGTTTCTTCATTTGCTCTGTTGTGTTTTGCACACATACCTTATTTTACAATTGTTAAGCACATGAAGAGATTACCAAGGGAAGCAGAAAAGCACAGGTAAAAGGATTATCACCATTAGAGTTTTGAGTTTAAGGATTAAATTTGAGTTGGCCTGGTGGTGCTGCAGACTAAACTTTGGCCCACAGAGTTGCTATACCATATGTGTGCTGGTTCAAGTCCCAGTTACTCTACTTCAAATCTGGCTCCCTGCTCATGGCCTGGTTTCTTACTGGCCAAAGTCTGTCCATTGAGTTAATTTTGGAGTGAACCAAATCGTATAAGTGTCTTTCCAATATAAAAACAACAAATCTTTAAAAATAATTAAATCTCTGTTCTCTTAAAACACTCATGGGGATCTCGCAATATGCTAAATACACTTACTGCCTGCTCTTTTAGATCATTCCTCTCCACCATGCTTTATTTTGCAGAAAGCGGAACCTACTGGCCACAGTAATCAACCTCCTTCCTTCTGGTTTCTGGACAAGTTTAACCAGAATAACAACAATAAGGAAGAGAATCACAATAAACAAGAGATCACATGAATGAAAGAATGAAATAGCTCTCTTCTTGCTGTATTTCTGTGATGACCTGTAAATCCAATCAAAAGTCGTAGTCTTCATTTTCATAAAAGTCTCTCTCTGTAGGTACTTTGGTCCTCAGGCTTTCGCCACTTCCGAGACTCAGTCCCCTTTATTATAGTGCCAGGATGCTGCATACACCTGTCCACATGTTTGTAAACCATCTGTTTATGGAATACATTTATGAGTATGACTATGTTGTTTGCCAGATCCCAGTGGGATGCATGAACTGATGCTGAAAATGACTCCTAGAAAGAGATCATTGAAGCGTGTTCCTAAAATTAGATTTCCCAGTATTTGGGAAGAGTTTGGCTGTCACCTCTGAAGAGTATATTCTGGAGTTGATGCTCACATATGTCACAGAGGTGGTACTAGGTGTTTAGGGATAGATGCTTCACCATTATTAGATATGCCATCTCTCTGTTAACATTTTCCCTGTGCAACCAGCCATACATATAGATACTATCTTTTCCATAAAATATTCTATCATCCAGCTCTTCAGACTAACATGATATTTGCATTTCTGTGCCTTGCTTCTTGAGAAAACAAATACTTCACAAATGTATTTTAAAGTTGATCATACACTTCTCACGATGAGATATTTCTCTTTGCTTTTGTTTTACTCAATAATTTTATTACAGAAGATGAGTCATGCTCACAAAAATATTATGCAATAGCCTCATTACCGTGGGGCTAGAATAGCATTTGTAGGAGTAACGTTTCATTTACTCGTTATCAAACTCTACTTCAGAGATTGAGCCTGACATTGGTTAAGATACAATGCTACAGAGTGAGTTTCAACAGACTCGTAAGAGAAAAGTGAGGAACGTTTCCCTTGGAGATGGCTTAGACATCTCAGTTCATCTCATCCCATCTTTCTGAACTCCCATATCCCACCAATCTTCAAGTACAGATCTGATAAGATCAGAAATATGGGATGGGACTCCTCCAAGGAGGCACAGATGGGAAAAGGGTTGGAGGAAGTGAAAAACAACCATAAAGAGAGAACCATGTCCCCATATCTTCTAAATTCCCCCACTTACTTGAGCCTGCTGATTCCAAGTCAGCTTGCCAAAGTCTCCTGCAGCCTGAGTTTCAGGCAGTCACTTGAATTTCCAGCAGCTTTCCTGTAGATCAGGCAAAATGTATTGGAATCAGATGAGGAACAGGCAAATAACACACCGTTCTGCTGCTGCCACACTCTGGGTATCTGATTCTGCCAGTTGAAACTTATGTAGTTACCAAGGGAAATTCCCAGAAGACAGGCTGCTTCAACTTGCTGGTAGGAGTCTTCGAATACCTTCAGTGATCACACCTGGTATTACTCAAGTGCTGGCATGATTAGCTCACACTGAGAAGCAGCCAAACATAACCTGAATTGTGCATTATATGCAACTAGGTCAGAATATTTTGAATGCTGTAGCTTTACTTAGGAAAAAAAGAAGAAAGGCCTGGAAATATAAATAAACATTCAGATTCAGCAGTTAAGGAAGATTTCAGAAAGCTGGTGATGGCTCACAGGAGGCTTGAAACAAAATTGAAAGCTAGCCCACAGAAGGAGCAGAGCAGGCTTCCCAAGCAGAGGCAGAAAGTCGATCTGAGAAGACATAAGACAACATGATGAACTCGGACGACTACAAGCAGCTTGCTGTGGCTTTAGTGGGAGAACACAAGAGGGAATGCTGAGAAATTTGTTATGGAGAGAAAAAGAAAATTATGAAGAATACAATTTTGAGAAATGTTTACACAAACTTAAGTCTTACGAAACAGACATAAGATTGCATATTTATATGATACAGATAATATCAATCTATATTTCAAAAAGTTAATGGAAAATGCATATTCTGCAAAAACAATTCATGAATTTCAAAAGCTTTTTGAGGAAAAATTAACTTTTTTTTTTTTTTGAGAAACAGTGAAACAGAGAGAGGGAGAGAGTGTGCACACATGATCCCATCCGCTTCCCAAATGCATGCTAGGTGAAACTTAGAGCTGCAAACTCAACCCAGGATTTTGTGTGCATGTCAAGAAGCCACCACTTGATTCATCAACTGTGACCTCCAGGATGCACGTTGGCAGGAAGCTGGAATGAAACTCTGCGTCTCTGCCTGTAAATATACATTTTCAGTAAAAATAAATAAGTATTTCTAAAAATAAGGAGAAACA